AGTGACCTTGGAGTAGTAGGATTGCTAGCTAAACCCTCCAAGGAGGCCGGCCACTTTAGAGAGAAAGGACAGCTTATGTTCTCATCATTTCCCCAAAAGAAAATCCTAAATGAATTTTGGCTATAAAGTCATATTTATACCTTAATTCATTGGAGTGGCAAACTTGTAAATAAATCCAAAACTCACTCCATCTCTAAATGGCCGGCCTTAGGGTATTATTGGGCTAATTGGGCCTTTGTGAATCATTATTCATTAAGTTGTCATACAACTTAAGTCAATGGGCTTGACGTTCGAAGCCCATTGGGCCTTAAGGTCCAAAACTATCCCGAGGTCTTTAACGAACTTATTCGTTTGATTAATTAACATATTAATTAATCCTTGCCATAAATAATTACACCATTTAATTATTCTTACTCATCTCCATTGTTTCTTCAATCTCCACCTTACATGGTGTACGATCCATTAGGTTCCTTTTAGCGAGGCAGTGGGCGATAAAAACCATTTCAAATCGATTGTGAATTGAAACTTACTTTCAATTCTCCCTTTAGTGATTATACACGTTTAGGGCTTCCACAAACCATGAGTGCACCTAGCAGCATATCATGGTTACCCAAGCTAATCAGAAGAGGTGGAGAACCTATTCAGTTTAGGATTACAAATGCAATACGGTCTTTCTCTAATACAATACTCTTGACCACATTGTTTGGTTTGATATTTTATTCATGTCTACTATCCAATGTGATTTGTGTGCTTATATGATTACCTTGAATGTTATTTGGAACGACTTCCTAAATCTCATTCATACTCTGGCTAGAGATTCTTAATCATATCATAGAGTATTCTCCCCCAAACGATTTGAAGGTTAGAGATCCCTTGTTGCGCATTCACTTGCCTCTATGGCTAAGTGGCTTAACCCCGACGATGCCGTGGACACCCTCCTAATGGAGTGACTTTGACATAATCAAAGATCAAGGACTTAACCACACGACAACTATGATGCCTCAGGTCAAAGGACTACTTTGCATTATCCCAACCATGAGTTCTCATGTGACATGAGTATAAGAACTCCTCGTTGATCGTGTTCAGTGGACTCATTCATTATTAAGCACCAACATGCTTGTCTTGATGTCACACACACCAATGACTCGAGACTAGTCACTCTTCCTGACCCATCTTCTGATTGTCAGAGACAATAGACTTGCATGCTTTCCCGAGTGTCATTTTATTTGTCGGTATAAATATTTTTCGCCAACGAAAATATTGTCGGCACAAATTCAACGGCTATGAGCCTACAAATTAAAATTTTCATTGAGGTAGGTGTTTTGTGGCGACAAAATTTTATTTTGTCAGCTTAGAATTTGTCGGCAAAATGATATTTTCTAGTTGTGTCCTATACATTCTTCAGCTCTTCTTAGTGTTTTCCACGCTTCAACATCGATTCTAATACTCACTTTAAGCCTTCAATGATCAGGATATGCAACCAAGAAACTTACAACACTCTTATCCGTTGCTATCAGGAATTGTTGAATAGGATATGGATGAGCTACAACTTCTTGAAAATGAACTTCCTTCCCTTGTCAGGTTTCTCCTTCTTAGCTTTCGCGCTCTATTTCCCAACTATAAGTGACATCATCCTCGTAGTCTACGCATACAGGTTCAATTCGAGCAATGTGTCAAGATTTTTAAATGGTTCTTCTTCATTGAAGCCCTTTTTGGCATCCATCTAAGGCAGATTATGAGTGTTGAAACGACAAGCATCTCCGTTGGAAAAGAATTGCACTGCTTTCTTTATGCACTTAAAGAAATTTTCCGCCAGGAGTGAGGGCTTTTCTCTCCCGAAATTGTACGCGTTTTGTACCATTCATGAGACTTCTATTATTTTACGTAATAATTAAAAATGTTCCCACACACTTTTGCTAAATGTTATCTACTCAAATAGTTGATCTTATTAGAGTAAAATACTTGGAACTTTTCATTCTTCACTTCATTATAGCGAAATAAGATTTAAGACAATCTTTCCAGAGTAAATGAACTCGGAGTTAAACACGAACAAGCGTATAGGCCTGAGTCCTGTTTTCCCTTGACAACATTGAAGTAAAAAATGTCACTCCCAAACTCATCGTTTATATAGATTTTCACCGTGATAGTCGGAATACCACCCTATTCCGACTCAAGGTCTAAGACCTATGGAAAATCTTGCACTCTAAGACTTGTGATGCATTGATCGGATTAAGGATGAGAAAGTTATTAACCAGATCTCAATGTCAAGCCGACTTGTTTCAATTGCCTTGTTGGCTAAGCAATAATTGCTAACACTTACAGAAGGTTAATCTAAGTGTTTGAGACAAATTTTTTCTTCAGGCATGACTTTGTATTAGTTTGTTCGTTCACCGTGTTTCATTCTAGGTTGTGGATTTTAATGATCGTAATGTGTCACCATGAAGGGGCTTCTTTCCTTGTCCGAATTTCATGTTCGTTCTAGTGAACCTTAAACAAAAGTTTCATAAGGAACTTGATTGCTTGCACGTGAGATGAAAACACCTTTAGAATCATTTTTTAGACCCTATATGCATCGTACTTGAGTCATTCCGATCAAATTATACATTGCTAACTTATCTAAAGAATTTTCACGTATCAGAGCTCATTTGGAATAAAATTCCATCATGATGATTTCTAAGTTTGGATACCTCCTTGGGACCTGCTTTAGGCACGAGATTGTCGTAGAACGTACTTGACTGAGTACGCTGGTCCATAATAGAAGTAATTGTACTTAGGGGCGGACTTCAGAACCACCACTCGGCTGATTTTTGGTTTGCCCTTTCGATTATTCCCTCGAATGGCCTAAGCCCAGGTTTGAATGTTATAACTTACAACCCTTAGGTTGAATAAACTTTCTGAAAGCCAGATGGCGCACTAGAAGCTTTCGAACAACAGGGCCATGTCCAAATGTTCGTAGTTTGCATTACGTAATTGCTTTTTAGTACGGCTAAAGTCTCTCAAGCTGCTAACCGGATCATAATATGGGCTATAAGATACTACTCTAACTCTAATACCTTGAATTTTTAGACTTGTACTTTTGCAAAGTTTCAAAGTTGTGTGATATTTAGGATATTGGGAGATTCCCTGTACTGCAAAAAAGAAAAAGGAAAGAACGAACAAACAAAAGTCAAGCGACAATCAAACTAAACTCTTATTATAAAAGATGGGGTTTGATGGGGGTTTGTGATTGAATCCAGATCGGACTGCCTACATATCTCTGAATTTGGAGAATCAAATCATTGGTGTAGTTCTAAGAAAGATGATACAATGTGTTTTACATAAGAGTTCATCTTTGACGAATTATCCCAAAGATATCATTTGATTAATAATATCTTTGAATAATTTCTTAGAATCGTTGATTGGATTTGATTGTGATTACTTGATTGAGTTGGTCTTCAATAAGAAAAACTTAAAGATAATAATTAGTTATTAATTCTATCTTTATGGTAATAAAGCTTTAAGAAGTCCTAATTAACAATTCAGGTACCAATAAAACCGACCCATATCAGGTCTACTTGCAGGTGCAAAAGCAGCGGAGCCACCAATAAAGCGAAAGTGAAACTTCTTGGAAGTTGTATTGCACTTGAAACAAATATGGATCTTGTCAATTTAATAACGCATTCTCATCTCTTGCAAGTTAAAGACCACATGTCAAACTGCATAGTTTTTCGATTATTTTTTACTCGACAGGGTGGGGGGGGGGGGCATGGGGCTCTGTTCCAAGTCAAGATCTCACATAACAAGTTGATAATGTTGATCAAAGCACCAATTAATTGTTTGATTTGTTAGTTTCCAGGGGTGGTAGGGTTTTCAATGAAGCATAAAATAGAGAAGCACGTTTTCCCAGCTGGAAGGGAAAATTATAATCATCTAGACCAAGAGCACGTGTGGTGCACCATTGCACATTGTCGACGAAAAAGAGACAAATTTTAATTGTTTTATGTATTAAAATTGGTTTTTGGAAAAGGAAAGGAAGGAAACGTTGAATCCAATTCCAAGCGTCGAGTCTGTCGACACTTAGTTAAGGGCAATGGTCCACACACAGATGTGAAAGGTGAAAGGAAGAGCTTCTGTTCTGCACAAACAGGCTTCAAATTCAAGTGAAATTATATGGTCCAGTACCACAGACCATGCAATGAAGGATCCGTTTTGGCATTCCATGGTTTAATATCTGGCCTTTTCCATTGGTACGTTCATTTTTATTCAATATTACGTAGCAAACGCAGCAAGTGGTACAAACAATAAATGGTTAATTTTGAAATTATAAAATATAATAGTTGGAAAAATCAAAATTAGCGGCTAAACACTATTACCATTGGGTGCTATGAAGCATTAAAGTCACACTCTAATACGTGCCACATATTTAAGTTTGATTGTTTTTTCTTCTTCCTCATTTTTAGACTTAAACTACTAATCTACTCTCTAAAATACTAGTCTACTCTTGAAAGCGTGCCTCATGCATATCACATTACTTAAATTGAAGAAAAATTGAATATAATAGTTTTGAATTTTTTTTTTGTTTTAGGAACAAACGATATATCTATATTAGGGGAGATGGGGGTGTATTTAGTCTCACAATCAATATATCTACATTAAGGGAGGGGGTGTACTTAGTCTCACAATGAACTAGCAATAATGTAGTTCAAATATTGCCTTTGGCGAGAATCGAACTTAAAACTTCTCACTTACAAGTGAAGAAAAATATCACTAGACTGTAACACTAAGTGACAATTATAAAACTTAATTTTGACACGACCTCGAGTGATAATGAAGATAGGACTATCCACACATAATTTTCATTTCTTACATATCATTCTCAATGTCCGGCCAAATGAATTAGCACTACCCTATAATATTTAGCACATTATTTCTTAAAAAATGATAAATTATAGGCATGGATTTGGAGGAGGATTTTCTTTCCTTTTATCTAAATTTATTCACAAGTAGTCCTGGGAAGCAAATTTAAGCAAAAGCAGCATGACAACCGAACGAATTAACAACTGAAGCTGTTTATGTACACAATTATAACAAGGAAGTTAAAATAACCACCACCCTTATGTGTCTCTCTCTCTCTCTTGTATAAATAACAACATTACAATTACATACATTAAATGGCAGAGAATAGCCAGCAGCTCCATCCAATTCCAATGCATTTTCAACTTGTAAACAAGAGGGAAACAAAATTGGGATTTCTCTTGAAAAATCGGCTTTTTTCCTTTTCCGGCCTACTGCTTGCTTTCGGCGACTTCTTTTATGCTCATCTCTACCATTTCAACTACGCCAAAACCTCCGTCCTCGGTGGCTATGGTTGATTGGGAGTCCATCCCAGACCCTGCTTGAATTTCCTTGAACATTGCCATCACTTGGATCATTGTTGGACGCCGCCATGGCCTATCGTCCAGACAAGCACAAGCTACCTTCAAGTGCTGTAAAAGCTCAATTTCAAGCCTCACGTCCTCTTTCATGAGCTCCGGATCAAAAACATCACTTATTTTCAATTTGGCGTGTTGTTTTACCCAACCCACGAGATTATTGTCGCCAAAATCAGCTGAATCTGTAGGACGTTTTCCTGTTAGCAGCTCAAGCAATACTACTCCATAACTATAAACATCGCCTTTCGTGGAGCATCTAAAGCTCTGGTAGTATTCAGGAGGGACATAACCAGGGGTGCCTGCAAGAGTGCTCACACTCAAATGGGTGTCCATTGTACTCATAAGCCTTGCCATTCCAAAATCGGAGACTCTGGCTTCCAAATTTTCATCTACCAGAACGTTGCTCGATTTCATATCCCTGTGAATGATGTGTGGGACACAATTGTGGTGAAGAAAGGCCAGTCCCCTCGCCGACCCAATGGCAATCTTCCTCCTTGCAGCCCAGTTTAACTTGATGCCAGCCTTCTTCGGTTCATGTAAAACATCATCTAAGCTTCCATATTTCATGTACTCATAAACCAAAAGCCGTTCTTCTCCTACTTTGCAGTATCCAAGGAGGGGTACAAGGTTCCCGTGCTTGATCTTCCCTATTGTTTCCATTTCGGCAGTGAATTCACGATCACCCTGTCCGCTGATATGTATTAGTTTCTTTATGGCTACAGTGCTGCCATCTCTCAACTGGGCCTTGTATACATCACCAAAACCACCAGAGCCAATAAGGCTGTCATCGTGGAAACCATTGGTGGCCTTGAGAAGATCTGCAAATGTGAGCTTTTGAAGGGGCTTCTCAAATGTCGAAAGGTTGATGCTTAATGCTTCCCGGGCACCAGTTAGCTTCCAGCCATTGGCAGTTCCTGATTGGTTACGACTGTCAATATAAACATCAAGGGCTGTTTCCTTCTTTTTTCGCCTTTTCTTGGTTTCAATGGCAACAATAAGCAAACCAAAGATGCAGAAAAGTGCGATGAGTAACCCCATTGCCACACTGCCTGCCAGGGATGCTTGTCGTCGATGGGACTTTTGATGTGTATTTGCACTTGGCCCCAAGGCCCCCCCACACGAAGCCAACGGATAGCCACAGAGGCCAGAATTGTTCGCGAATCTGTTGGCAGGGAATGTCTCAAACTGACCTGACTCTGGAATCGTTCCAGACAAAAGGTTGTTTGAAAGATCAATCTCCGTTAGCAAGGTAAGGCCACTGAGAGCCGGTGGAATAGTCCCCGCGAGGCTATTGCTAGAGAGATCAAGAATGTTAAGGCTGGTCATTTTTCCAAGCTCTTGAGGGATTGACCCAGATATATTGTTATCGCCCAAATTCAAAATATAGAGATAGTACATGCTCCCAATCTCTTTGGGAATGCTACCGGACAAGGAGTTATGCGAAAGGTCAAGGAAAATCATAGAACCGTTATGGTTAAACGTTGGTTGGAGAATACCTCTGTAAACTCTAGTGAAGTTGCAGGGATTTCTTGTCGAAATCCTGTTCAGCTGCTCAGTTCTGATCCCCGCAAACTCGAGCAAATTTCCTGCTCCATGGCACTCCTTGCTACCATCATTCTTGATATAAACATACGTTTTGGAAGCAACAAAATTCACTGCAATGTTTCCGGATTGCTTGAAAAGCGCAGGAGGGATTGTGCCATTCAACATGTTGGTATTGAGATCCAACCATATCAAGCTCTTACAGTCACCGAGCTCTGGGGGAATACTACCAAAGAATGAGTTGTTACTGAGCTTGAGTATTGCTAGATTTGGAAGCTTCCCAATCCACCCGGGAACCTCACCACTCAACTTGTTGTTTGCCAATGAAATCCAATTCAAATTGGTGCAGTTGCTTAGACCGATGGGAATCGACCCTGTAAGCTCGTTGAAGTCCAGAATGAGATTCTCAAGTGACCCAAGGTACATCAGCTCCTGTGGGATTTCCCCACTCAGCTGGTTCAACCAAATGATCAAATCGCGAAGCTTGGACAATGACCCCAAGCTCGAAGGGATGGTGCCCTTGAGGTAATTGAAGCTCAAATCAAGAGAAACAAGCTGAGAACAGTTACTCAGAGACGGAGGAATCGTGCCGGTAAACAGATTGTTCTGAAGGTACAGCTCCTTCCAGATGTTGCCAGGATCCCCGCAGAGCCCAGCTGGGATTGACCCAGAAAAGTTGTTGGAGCTGAGATCCAAACTCTCCAATGTGGCGAGCTTAGACAGAGAATCGGGCAGAGTACCATAGAAATTGTTGAAAGAAAGCGACACAGCCTTTAAGTTGGCGAGCTTCATCAAAATCTCAACGGGCAACTCACTGGAAAAGTTATTGCCGGATATGTCCAGCGACTCCAACAAAGAACAAGAGCTCAATGCATCAGGAACCGAACCCGAAAGGCTATTTGCCGATAGATCGAGCTCCACAAGCTCTGCACACGAATCCATTAAGCTCATAGGAATTATACCCTGAAACCCATTACCTCCAAGGGACAGGAACTTCAAACTGTTGGTGGGCATGACTGGAATCGGACCGTTGAAGTGGTTCATAGAGAGGTTCAAGAAAGTGAGCTGCTTGCAGGAGGAGATAGCGCGGCCAACGTCGCCAGAAAACTTGTTGCCAGAGATGTCAAGGTGGTCCAAAGCCGAGCAATCGCCGAAAGAAGGAAGAGAAATGGAGAAGTTGTTGGAGGACAAGTCCAAGTGCTCCAGCTTTTTGCAGGTGGAGACAACGCTCATCTCGCCGGAGATTTTGTTCCCTTTTAAAACCAAGCTCTGCAAGTTACCGCAACCGTCGGATAAGATCCAAGGGACGACGTTGGGGCCTGTAATCTTGTTGTAAGAAAGATCGAGAACCTGGAGGGTGCGGAGGGGGAAGGCAGATGAGAAGGGTATGGTGGAGAAATCGAGAGAGTTTGAGGAGAGGTTGAGGAAGGTCAAGGCGGAGCAAGCGGCGGCGAAGTTGGGGACGTCGGAAAGAGGGCCGGAGAGGGAGTTGTGAGCCAGATCTAAGGAGGTGAGGAGAGGGCTGCACTTGGATCCGGGAGGGAAGTGGAGGGAGATGGAGCCGGAGAGAGAAACAGATTTGAGAGAGAGAGATTCAAGGGAGTCAAGGGCCATGAGGAAGTTGGAAACAACGGTCAGATTTGTGGCGAGGGAGACGGAGGAGAGGTGTATGGAGGAAACCCTTGTTCCATTGCAGAAAATACCAGAAAAGGAACATGGGTTTTGGTTGGGGAGCCAGTTGGGGAGGAGGGTCGGGATTGGAAGGGAGGATTTGAAGCTGAGGAGTTGCTGGGCGTCTGTGTAAGAAGAGGAGGATGTGGGTGGCGGAGTTGCAGAGGTGGGTGGCGGAGGAAGGAGGAGGAGGAGGAAGAAGGGGAAGGGGAAGTGAGAAATGGACTTGTGGGGTTTCATAGTTTGAGTTTTGGGGTGATCGTAAAAGAAGGGGTATGGTTTTAGGTGCTGAGTTCTGCCATAAGAGAGCTCAGAAGCTATAGCTGCTGCTTTAGAGAGAGAGAGAGAGAGAGAGAGAGAGAGAGAGTTAAAAGTCGGAGTGAGGAATGTAAGAAGGGGTATTTATCAAGTGGATGGAGCGGACACACACAGCCACAGGGGTTGCTCACATGCCATGTGACTCTCTCTCCCCTCCCCCCTCTCTCTCTTCTTTCTCTCTCCTTCTCTGGCTCAGAAGAGAGAGGTATTCTGGCTGGCTGTTTGTCTGAATTTACAGTTTCTCTCTCTACAAAATCACTTTTAAATCCTAACTACTGCTTTCGTAATCAATCATTCTTTTGAGGGTAACTCGCGGTTTATTTATTTATTTCTTCTGAAAATTTTGTTCTTTGTTTTCTGTGAGAGAGAGAGAGAGAGAGAGAGGGAAGAGGTTTCGTTTCCTTGAAAGCAGGTTAGTTTAGTGAGGGTGTTTAGGAGATAAAGAATGGATTAAGAAATGTTAATTAATAAAAGGATAATCCTGATCTCTCCTAAAATAATTAAGTACAATTATGGGACTATTATCACGCTCTCCTTGTCTCTTTCGAGCTTTATGGCTTTCTGCGTACGTGAGGGAATTCAGATGAGAGTAAACCATAGATATACATATAATAATATCTTTCACTGTCAATTTATCAAGATTCCATCCCTTCATTTATTGGGTCCTTTTTTTTATAAAGGATCTGCTCTTATATATTTTTAAGAAAATTTTTATTCAGGTTAACTAAAATCTTATACTTAAATTTATTAATTTGAGTACTTTGATTGACCAACAAAATATTAAGTTTCAATATTAATTAAGAAACATAAGAACAAAAATTAGTAAACCCTTCCTAAAAATCATGTCAAGATTATACCAAGTAAGAATTTTTATTTTTATTTTCAAATTTGAGTTGTCCTCATCAGATTTTTTTTTTCTTTTTTCAAAATATTTTTTTATTTTTAAATATTTGTGCCCTTTTATTTTTAACAAACAATATGAGCTAAAATAATGTAGTTCAAATTCACCTTTGACGAGAACTTGAACCTTAGACATCTCATTTCAAATTTTTATTTTTAAATATTGGTGCATTTTAGATTAAAATAATGATACATTTTATTAAATATTGTATATAAATAAAAAAGTGAATAGATTTTACAATTTTTTTTTAAATTTGACCATGAAGTCAATCTCACTCTAGCTTTGCGATCATAGGAAATGATAAAAACAAGTCAAAACCTCTTTTAGCAAAACATCTTTCAGATTCCCGTATCTTGCAAAACACGCATGGTCAATCTCAACGAAGTCATTTGAACTTCGTCCACTGCTCTAGAACATGATGATGCTACTCCGTTAATTCAACTTCGCTCGGAGTTGTTGAGTCCATGATCAAGCTTCTGATGTTTTTGTATTCCAATCCGCCTAACTTTGGCCTTGGAAAATCATGCTCTCACAATTGTCCCTAACTATATATCTGAAAGGATCTTGTTCCCCTTGAGGACAAATAGTTATCCAAAAATCATGTCTTTCGGAGTAAGATGGAATACATACTGTTTATTCTTCTATCTTCACGTGTCGAACCAATTTTGTAAAGTAGACGACACGTTCCGAAATCAGGCATGCTGTCTTGAGACCCGTGTCATAAAGGTCACAATGATGAAGAGAGTTGCATGTGCACATTTTGCAAAAGGCGGCAGTTTGTATCTTCAAGTGGCTTGGTTCTTTGAACACACAAATCTCTAGGAGAAACTCTTCAAATTCAAAGGTGAGATCTCTTGGTACCTTACCTTTAAATATCTCCATTACAATTGTGATCTTTCAAACCAACTTCACTTCTAGCCTTCAACTTACGCCATGAAACACTCTTCTTCTGTATCATGACCTACTTTCTAAACCCAATTTTCTTTTTTTTTTTTTGCTTTCGATGATTAGAATTTTCAACCAAGAAACCTACTTTAACCATATTTGTCTCTGTAAAGCAAAATTAGGCAAGACAAAGATAAACCATAATCTTATAATAGCCTCCCTTGCTTCTTACAGCATGTTCCATAACATTCATCCGTCACCCTCCCATACACGACATCCTCCTCTTAGTCTTTGCATATGGGTTCAACTTCAAGAGGAAGTTGAGATTCTTGAGTGGTTTCTTTTCAATTAGAGCCCTCTTCACCTATTCTCATGATAGTTTATGGCAACGATTGACCTCATCAAAGTTGATGATCCTTGTCTAATCTACTTGTGAGGGCTTGTCTCCCCTAAATAGTTGTACCTTTTTTGTCATGTTCATTGAACTTTGATAATAAACATGTATTTATACGAAGCTTTTCATCCATTGCTTCCTTGTTCATGGAATAAATTTTAATCCGATAAATATTTCCAAACTAAATGAACTTTTAGAGAAATGAGTAACGGAGCGAAACATGAGTAAGCTTATAGGCCCAGGACAGAGCTCGAAGCCCCCTCGGTGATGTTGATTAGAAAAAATGTGACCTCCTAAACTTAGTATTATAAAGATTTGCGTTGCGATAATTGTTGACACGTGCTGACCCTGATATTCTTTGAATACCCAGATAGGCACGTGCTGGCCGACACTCGAGGGTGACGAAGGCCATTTATTGAATACAAGAGTAATGATTAGGAGAAAATGAACATGAATAATCATTATAATCTAAAGGTAATAAACAAAGTTTAACGAAATGTCTAGAGTGCATAGAATACATTCTAATTCAAGATCACAAAAGGAAAGATCATTACAAGATATCACACAAATGAGTGATAAACTGTTATTGGTAGGGGAATGCCTCGTACGTTGTGTTGTAGTCTTCGTTTCTAAGACCTGAATGGGGAGTTAGGGTGCTACCAAGTGGCAGCTAGGGAGTGGAGGAGAAAATCAAAATGTTTAATTTCAAAAACTTTGGGAATTTATAAAATTACAAATAAATTCGGCGGTGGGGTTTAACAATCTACTCCCCTTAAAAGAATTTCATCCTCGAAATTTAAAATCACTTATGAAATACTCAAAAATAGGAAGAAGAACATATGTATAAAGAGTAATCAATTCAAAGTGGGTGCACAAAAGAGAATATGCCACACCGTCGTGAGCAGGTTGCAAAATCCTCTATCATGCCTCCAAGCTCACTTTCTTCTCCATCAGTGTAAAAGTAGAAATATACTTTATAAAGATATAAAGTCGAAAACACAAAATAGCTTAAGGTCAAAAGTAAGTATGTAAAATATGATAACGTCAATATATATATTTAATAACATATAGGTCAAAAACTTCGTGCTGAACTTAAAATTGAAAACGGAAATACTTCCCCCAAAACATTTGTAACGACAAAAATAAATAACTAAAGTAAAGGAAGTTAAAATACTTGTACTAAAAATCAAAATTGAAAATGAGAGTGGGTCTCGCCCAAGAATTCGTAACCTCACGTACTCTGAGAACAGATGTGTCTTTGGGTTGAATCCTAAGAATAACAATTCCGTGACAGCTGCCGTAAACGAATATTTTTGCCCACTTGCTTAACGAACCCAACGAATAAGTTATCGATACCAAAGTCGGCCGCCTGCAATATCGATCACACATTCGTCGTCTCGATAGGCAAGCAGTGATTTCCTGAGGATGCACAATTTCACACGTCATAAATTCGATCCTCCAAATACAAGCTCACACAACTCCTTTACCAACCAGTGTTGCATGTAGCAACTTTCGTACCATGTCACAACAAGTGCCATACTCAAACCGAACAAAATAAGAATATCGTCGTAAAACTTTATCCAGCACCAAGCATCCTATCCTCCTCAGTTCTTCCAAATGTGACCATTCAATTCAACGTGAAGATAATGATGCAATTTGCTAATCATCTACACCACAATCTTCACCAGTCTCTTAACAAAAGACGACTCAAACTTCACACCCACAAGGAACTCTTGTGAAAAGGTTATGCTCATATCATTCATGTCTGAATCGACACGAATTGGGCTACACACTTTCTTCGAAACGATCGATCGTGAATTTCTCACTGATTGAGCGAGAAACCATGTCGAGAAGGCTGAAAGAATACTCAAGAATTTAAGGGTCAAACAATCGAAAGAAGGTAAAAATGTAGAAATATAAGTCATTGTTTATGATTATTTGGCTAAATTCACCTATACCGAAAGGTATGAGAACAAGGAGCTAAAGTTTACCACCGAGTACTAAACCCAGGTGAAATTCAAGGAGTCTATTTATCCAAACAAGACTAGATCTTCATCATCCAAATTCAACTACAACAACAATAAGAATCGCAACTCCCTTTAGAAATTGGTGAAAACGTCTGCTATCGAGGAGTTTCCCAAGAAAAGCAATTAACGTAAACGAAGTCAACACTCGAAGAATTTGGTGCAAAGCTGACAGTCAAAGGTTAAGGAACTTGAATTCTCATTGGGGAAATCAAGATGGTTATCAATAGAACAATCGCCGAAGATTCATTCCAAAGATTCACACGAGTATCCTCAGTAGGAACGAGCGTGAGAACATTGGTTCGATCCCACCAATTACCACTTACTAAACATCAAAACAACCAACACTTACTCGATTTTTACAACACGCACTTCAAAAGATTCGAATAATATCCAAAGAGATATGACTCTGCCTGCCATTCCTGAGAGACGCACGTCTCAGAATGATATCACTGTTTCAGATTTCCAATTGGTCTTAACCAATTCATACCACAAACATTTTTTTTTCCATTTCCCAAAATTTCGATTTAAAGCTGACTCTGCCTGCAATTCCTAAGGAACGCATGTTACAGAGTGGCAGCACCATTTCGGATCTACAGCTGGTCTTGACTAGACTTCCTCAAACTGAAATTTCTAAAACACGTCGCTTCCAAGTAATGTCGACTCTACCCGCCATTCCTAGGGAATCCACGTCGCAGAGTATCTATATGATGTTGAAAGTCATCTGACAATCCACTTCATCGCTGCTGAGGCACAATCCCGACACGAATTCTTGTATTTCAACTAGAAGGTGACAATTTACACAAAGAAAGGTTTGTACAACTGCGTCGAATGGCACAAAATCCGGAAGTTGTGACATCCAAATGACGTCATGACTAACACATTATTACAGTAACAAAAGGTCCTAAGTATGCTCTGAACAAACCACACTCTGATACCAATCTGACACGTCTCGACGTTGATATTCTCTGAATACCCGGATAGGTACGTGTTGGCCGACATCCGAGGGTGACGAAAGCCATTTATTGAATACAAAAGTAATGATTAGGAGAAAATTAACATGAATGATTACAATCTAAAGGTAATGTCTAGAGTGCATAGAATACGTTATAATT